TTGGGGGTGTTTGTTACCCTCTTGTTACACTTCTAATCTTCGGTATTTATATACATGTATTACTCTGGGTCTACTGCTCTCCGTCTTATGTACCCGACGGTACAGGGAGAGAGTACGTTAGTAAGTAATGTTAAGTGTATTTAAAAAAGAATGCTCAAGTGTTGCGCTGCAAGTGCTGTAAAAACCTTATTCTAAAGGTCATCTTCCCAGGTTTGCTGACCTTGTTCTCCCATCTGTGAAGCAAGCGAAATGATGAAGATACTGTAAAGTGGGGCGAAATATCTGAGCAATGTAACTTACTCTCTTATCTCGATTCGAGATTTTGGGATTCCAGTAACACAGAACTTTATTTGCCAACTTACCCTTGACCGTGGAGGCTTTGCAAAGTCTGGCATGGATGGTTGGCGGGTGCTCTGGTGGAGTTTGCTCCTTCTTTACTATCAAACAAACTCAAACATATATTGTCCTTATCTCTTCTTCTTCTGTTCTTTTTATGGTACTTTCTAGTAACTTCTAATCTTTGACACGTCTTATATGACCTATTTAGTTGCGTTGCTAGTGCTGTAAAACTCTTGCTGAAACAAACGAAATTGTCTGGCGCGTGAGTCTCCGTTACGCGCCTGCTTGCTATTATTGACAGTTGAACCATCTGTGTTAAGTGCTGTACACCTTCTCGTTTATCGTCATCATATTTCCAACAGGGAAAACTTTTTGTTTATCATCATCATATTTCCAACAGGGAAAACTTTTTGTTTATCATCATCATATTTCCAACAGGGACGTATGCCGTTTCCCCCTGACACTGGCTAGTATAAACGTTTGGGTTTCCTTTTGCTATTTTATTCAGACCAAAGTTTAAGCCAAACAATAGACAAACAATAGACAAACAATAGACAAACAATAGACAAACAATAGACAAACAATAGACAAACAATAGACAAACAATAGACAAACAATAGACAAGTGCGACACATGCACGACAGTATTATATTATTTAGGAATATTTGTGTCGAGTGTTCCCTACCGCATGTACTCAGTCAACCAGCCAGTCACGAACAGGCGCCCTCTACATTCTACAAGGCCCCTCCCCCCTCCCCACCTTTTCTCTGGTCTGGATGTTACACAACTGCTGTAACATCCAAAGACGACTTACTATTCTGACGTCGTTGTCAACACACTCTTGATCAGTATTCAGCGTGTCCAATCAGAGGGCATTGTTGAGTCCGCTACCAGAGAGAGATAGAGAGAGAGAAAGTGGATGAATGTTCCTTCTTATCACAGTCAGACAGTTTCAAAACAGAACTATCGCCCCATTTTCAGTAATGGTTGTAATAATAATTAATGTCGGTAATGACGCAAACGAAAGCAACGCCGCAGCGAATAGAGCAGACAATCTCGTGTGCCCGTGGTGACGCACTGTTTATTTGTTGGGTAAGTGTTTTACGACTCTTGCAACTTCTTAAGGTCATATGAGCACGAAGGACACATTTAACTTTTTCAGATGGTAGGAAAATTTGAATTTTGCCCAGGTGGCGGCCAAAGCCTACTCTTATCGATTTTTAGACCCCCAAGAGATCTTTATCGTGCGCAACTTGCACATGGGACTTCCGAGATATTTCGCCCTTGTCCCAGAAAGCTAGGTGTAGATCTTTTCTACCAGAAGATCAGGGATGTGGCTGAAAGACAGCAGTAAGGAGCAAAAGAGTCAGGAGCCCAGAGGAGGGGGGCAAAGGAGGTGAGGGGGTGGGGGTAGGAAGAGTAGACGAAAGTAGCCTGTTTTCTGAGGTAAAATTTGTGAGAAAATGGTCACCAAAATATGATAACTTCTATCACTTGAGAGTCCTTGAAAACGGAATTGTTACATATTTTTTACCTTTAATCGACATTTTTAGGTAAAATTCACATGAAAATGTTGGTTTTTATTAAATTTTTTTTGGCAAATGTTTTACGGCGCTCGCAACTGCATAAGGTCTGTGAGCGCGCGGGACACACCTAGCATTTTCAGTTGGTATGAACTTTTGAATTTTGCCCGGGTGGCGGCCGAAGCCTGTTCTTATCGATCTTAGACCACCAAGGAATCTTAAACGTGCGTAACTTGCACACGAGCCCTCCGAGATTTTTCGCCCTTGTCTGAGAAAGCTAGGTGTAGATCTTTCCTACCAGAAGATCTGGGATGTGGTTGAAAGACAGGAGTAAGAAGAAGCCAAGGAGTAGAAGTAGAAGTAGAAAGGCTACAGAAAGAGTCAGGAGCCCAGATGAGGGGGCAAAGGCGGAGGGGGCAGAAAGTGGAGACGAAAGCAGATGCCAGAACATTGCAACAGAGCAGGAAAGAAGGTGAAAGGAGACAATTTTAGAGAAGAAAATTTTCGCTGTCACTACCCGGATTCGAACCTGGGGCCTTTGAATGAGAGGCGAACACCTTTACTTCTAGTCCACGAGAGCTCTAAAATGTGGTTTTATATGAACAAAAAGGTGTCTATCCAAAAAACTCAGATTCGACACAAATTGCCGAACTGGAGGGAAAATGCTTGTTTCTTCGATTTCATTATTATGACAAGCGCCTGATTTCACCTCAATGCCACGCGTACATTTAATCACAAGAAATTCAAAACAAAGGAACTTTAACCGCAAACATGACACGTACCGTTCAAGCCTGTTATAGGAAGAGTTGAACAAAATTCGGATAAATATCCGGATAATCGGATAATCTTCAATAAGACATTAACCGAATTTAGACTCTTTGCTCTCTTTCCTGACCCGTTTGGCGAAGTGGGTGCTCCCATTTGTTGAAGTGGTGCTAACCCGTTTGTCTAAGTGGTTCTAACCAAAGATAGTACAAGACAAGATGGGCCACTCAGCCTAAAAAGTGTCCGCAGGAAGTATGCTCTTTGCTTCAGATGGCGCTGCAGTCTGTTTTGAAGCTCTCTTTCGTTTTTCCAGAAGAAGAATAGGAATAGCACCTCCTTGCGTGCGCAGATCGACTGCTGTTCATCAGCAGTTCGGGTACGTTCAGTGGGGAGTTTTAGGTTTTTAAAATTTTAATGACCTCTCGCCCTTCATTCTAAAGTCAAATTAAACGAAGAAAACCATCTCCTTTTCCTCCGGAAGAGGTTTTTTGTCAGCGTAACCATTTTTAAAAAGCGTTCTTCCGAAATTTATCCCAAAACTTGCTAGTTTCACTTTGATTTTTTAAAACTCAAGTAGGGTAACTCTGTTCGCAAAGAGTGCGCTTTTGTGAAGAGGGCGCCACCAAATTTTGAGGACACTTTTTTAATTGGCTCAAAGAGAGAAGTGGCCCATCTTGTCTTGTACTATCTTTGTTCTAACCCATTTGCCGAATCGGTTCCTAACATATTATTTACCGAAGAGGTACACTAACATAATAATATTATCCGGACTCTGCTAAAGCGATTTATTGCCCAGCCCTAGTTATTGACAGCTTGGCGAGAAGTATTCGCAGGACGTGCTGGGGAAGTGCTAGGAGTGGTGAAGTAATCGATTCTGATGCGCGCTTTGAGCCCTCGTCAGTCGTCAGTCGCCGCCTCGCGTTTTTCAATGACAATGTAGACCGTGGATCGTGACATAGATTTGACGAGAGAAGAAAGTTCTCTTTCTCTGCTGTATTTAAAGCTATTTTGCCCGAGTGCACTGTTACATTGTTTGTGGATTGGAGCATCCTGGAGACAGACGGATCTCCTATGCGTGCGACTGTCCTGGGTTTTTTTTCATGAGGACCGCAGATTCATTTTAGATGTGAGTGTTTGTTTCTGTCAATAAACAGTTTTGCTGAAAGAAAGCCGTAAATCATGTTGTTTAGTTTAGGCTGTCAAAAATAAAGTAAAAAATCTAAAACCATGATTAACATTTTTAGGAAATAATTTCAAATTTAAGATATTAGATCTATGAATTTAATTATTCTTGCTTTTCTGTCGAAGAGTGTGTTGAGCATAAAATAGCTGAAACAATGAATCGTTTACAGTAATAAAGGTAAGAAGACCAGAGCATAGATGTGCAACACTTGAAAACAAAGACATCGATTGTTACAGTTATGATACAGTTTTGGATGGGGTTGCAAAGAAATGTTATTGTTTTTTTAGTGTGAATGTGTCGTGTCGTGCTCATTAAGGGCAATGTCTTGGAGAGGTATTTGACGTCAACAGCCCAGTGGTTAGGCTACCGGGCTCGTAATCAAGAGGTTGCGGGCAGACATTGGTTGCGGGTTCAGGGGCTCGAGCCTCGCGCCGTCCAGCCGACATTGTGTCCTTGGGAAAGGAAGCACTTTACACCAAATTTCCCATTGGATCCTTTCGGAGATGGACGTTAAACTCTGAGCTCCCGCCTCTTAACTCCTTACACCCTGAGGGTCTGGACGGGAAGTCTGCCCCCAGATCCTAAGCAAGGGGAAGGAACCCGCCTCCCGTGAATACAAGCATTCAAAAAACATATTTAAAAAATATCAAACAAATTTTAAAAATCCTGAAAAAAATAAAGTAGAAAGATAAATGAATGTAGTTTCAGAAAAAATAAACTTTGTGAATGCACAAACTGTTGGAAATGTTCTAACTTAAGTTCAATCGGGATGTCCGACACGTCACTCTCACTCTCAGCCTCGCGGTCGGGCCCTAGATCTAAATTCTAGTCTACAGCTGATTAATCGGAATCGCCTCAAATTCTTACTACAATGTTTTCATCAATATTTAATTTGTCATAACTTGCTCGTGCGTGCCTCAATCCATCGTTATTTTCTTTTTCAAACTCAGTTGTGTTGCTTTTCAATAAGTTGAGACATCTTCGAAGTGTCGGGAAACGCGATCGCCCTTCGATCGGCTCTAATATTAAAACTACAGGAGATGACTAGTGTCTCCTTGTCTCCAAATCTACCAGCCCGAAAAATTTTGTTTCGGTATCAAACGGAAGAAAAAAAATTTTGCAATAGCTATGTAAAACAAAATCCCTGCTCCAGAGTCTCGTTACGGCGAGACTTGGTTTTTAAAGACTCCTGGTGGAACGCGAGGCGCGAAGGGAAATACCCGGGCGATCCCGGGCGAGTTAGGGTGTAATGTGTTTAACTAACCTAGTAGTGGTGATAGAGGCGTTAAACCCATACCCTTTCACCATTAATTGGATATGCAAAACCTGTCATTTGATAAAGTTACGAAACAAAAGCTGCACCACAGCACCCGACGTAAAACGAGAGCTGGTCACTGAATTTGGGCAACGAAAAAGAGTCGTGAGGTGAGCCGTTGCAAAATGCTCCTAAATCTAGTAGACCGTTCTTTCAAATAAAATTTAAAAATTGCTCAGTTTGAAAGTCTAACTTGCTTTTTTCTTGCGTTCAATGAACGTAATTTGTTTGATGGATACGTTTCTCTGAATCCAAACTATAAGCTTTGATCCAATCGTCATATTTATCTGACATGAGGGAATTCCCGCTGGTCCCTGAGTTGCTGTTCATCATCAACAATTTATTTATAGAGGCACCAGCCATCCATGTCCAGGTGCTGTTTTAGCCTCTAGACCAAGATCTATGATTTATTTATAGAGGCACCAGCCATCCATGTCCAGGTGCTGTTTTAGCCTCTAAGTTGTTGTCTAAACTATATGTACGCGTTGTGGACATGTACAGTTAGTTCTGTACGTGCTGCGGACATCTATATCTATTTCTGGCGCAACTTATTGTCAAATATTTCCTCAACTGTCGAACATACAATCTCCATCTTTTGCACAAGGACTTGTAATAATTTGCCGTAACAGGTCAATATTTTTGTAATCACCTGTTGCTGTTTTCTAGAAAATTCCTGAGTAAATACTAATAAAAAAATCCAAGTGAGTGTTTTCTACAGATTTTGACAGATTTACAGCTGGGGCAATATCGCTTTTTAAAGCAATTCCGTCAGTTTTTTCTAATCGCGACATTATGCGCATTGAACGCATGTTTTGAGAACGTTTTGAGCAAAAAGTGTGTTCGCTATAAAATTAATTTCTTGCAACAATTTTTACCACTAAAAAGTTGCTGTTGAAGAGCTGTGACGTGAGAAGGGGGGAAGTGCTGTGAACAGTCACATTTTCTGCGTGACGGAGAGTTATAGTATTTTTAAAAAATAAGTTTATGAAGAATTTTTTTTTCTGAATCTAGGCTCAATTGTGGTGGAAAAATATGATTAAATTAAGACAGATTGATACAAACTGCTGTACCAAGTTTGGGCGACACTGGTTCACCCGTTGAAGAGGTATTTGAGGATATTTTGGGCATAAAATTTTTTACCACACTGTAGATCTAGTTCTGTGCGCGATGTGGACTTGTAGATTTAGATTATAGATCTGTAACCTACGCGTTGTGGATACACTCACTGTGCACCACGCTGATTTTTTTGCGCACTCTGTGTGGTTTTTGTTGTTGTTGTTGCTGTTGTTGTTGTTGCTGTTGTTGTTGTTTTTTCATTTTGCCTTTCTCGTTGTTGTTGTTGTTGTTGTTGTTGTTGTTGTTGTTGTTGTTGTCGTTGTTTTTGCGAGCGTTTTGAATTCACGATGTGTGTTCCTAGCCCAGTGTCGTGCGTTTCTGACATGCGCCCAGGTAAACACAAGTAGACAGACATCTCATTGTTCAGTGCAGTTGCCGTGTGTCTGACATACACACTATCAGATACACACAAGTAGACAGACTTCTCATTGTTCAGTACAGTTGCTGTGTGTCTGGCATACACACCATCAGATACACACAAGTAGTCAAACATCTCATTGTTCAGTACAGTTCAAGTCCAGTGCCGTGGTGGGCAGAAAACAATTTGAAACGAAAGACTGCCACTGTATTTTCATATTGAGGATCATTTTGCTTATGTTGTACCAGCGCACGTAGATGTGATAATGACATTATAGTGCGGTCAAAAATTCATGGCGCAATAAATTTATCCTCAAATATCTTTTTAAAGGTTGAATCATTGTCACCCATACTTTGCCCAGCAATTTATATAAATTTATGTTAACTTGATCATATTTTCCACCATAGTTGAGGCTAAATTTTGAAAATATTTTTTCATTATTTTATATAAAATACTACAAATCTCCTTCACTTGGAAAATGGAATTGTTCACAGCACTTCCCGCTTCTCACTCACATTTTGCATAATGGCTTACGTCACAGCTCACATCTAACCCCTTTTAATGGCAAAACTAGTTAGAAAAAAATAATTTTATAGTGAAAACTTTTTTAACTGAAAGTTCTCAAAACATGCGTTCGATAAAGATAGTCTAGCGATTAGAAAAAAAAATGACAGACTTGCTTTTAAAAGCGATACTATCCCAGCTGTAACCTTTTCAAATCACCAGAAACCACCCACTGGGATTTTTTTATTAGTATTTATTAAGCAATCTTCTGGAATACAGTTAACAGGTGCTTACCTTACAAAGGTATTGATCGGTTAAGATAAATAATGATACAAGTCTCTGTGCAAAAGCTGGAGAGTTTATGTTCGATAGTTGTGGAGATATTTGCCAATAAGTTGCGCCGCGAATTTTTGACCACACTATAAGTAAAAGATCTAGTAGCGTCTGCGTTTGTTGCCATTTTTTGAGTCCAACAGTTGCCTCACAAAAAAAAGGCAAAAGTTGTCATAAAAGTTGCCTATAAGCTTTCAGCTCTCTGTGACGACGTATTTTAGTAATATGTTGACAGAGGTAACTTAATCTACTACTTCAGAATTTGTTGTGCTCTGTTTTAGTTTTAAGCATCCAGAATATCATATTTGTAGCCACACAGAGTGTAAAAACGTGAAAAATAAAGATTTCACAACAGAATGAAATCAAAATTAGAACAGCACATAAAACCACACAATAATTAACAAGTAAGGGTGTGCGTCCACCTATCTGAAGATTAGCCGTTTTCACCCCAAACGTGTGTAATTCAAGAAAAAGTACAGGATAATATGTGAGGCATCGTGGTGGAATCAGGCTCTCGTCAATTTTTGTGCATGTAGAGTTATTGGTATCATCTTAAAGCTTGATCACTTATCTTTATTTGGATGCAAAAAATATCAATTTATCTTGAATACAAGTCGAGATATTTGCAAAAGAAGGAGGTGTTGGTCACCTGTTTAAAAGAGGTAAAATTAGTGAGAAAATGGCAGCCAAAGATTAGTTATTTCCTTAGCTTAAAAGTCCATGGTAACTGAAGATTTACATTTTTTATGCCTTTAATCAACGTTTTTCAGAAAAATCCACACAGAAATGAGTTTTTTAATGGGCATGAAAGGTGTTGTGCCAAAACAAAAATTTGATAAAAATTCACAAACCTACGGAAAAAATCAAGTTTTTTCACTTTGATTATTTTGACGAGCGCCTGATTTCACCACGCTGCCTCACATATAATTGGGTGAAGACACGCTCTAATATAACACATTTATATTTGGAAAAAAGGAAGGAACAACATCAAATTAAATGGCGGGACGCTGTATAAAAACACACACACACATTCACACACACATACACACACACACACACACACACACACACACACACACACACACACACACACACACACACACACACATACGCACTCAAATAGAAAACACGTCAGAACAATAACAAGAAAAAAAGTTAATACACCAGCAAATTAAAACACAAAAAAGAAGGAAATATAAAAGAGAAGCAGCAATATACATAGTATTAGTATGTAATGTACTTATATTCTTAACATGAAAATAAAAAATCAACATGAATTGAAATGGAAATGAAAATAATTTTTCTTTTTTAAAAATA